ACTGCACACCCTCTCACGCGTACGTGAGTCGTCTCGCGTGTCAAGCCGGTGGTCGAGGACCTCGACGAATCCGTGGAAAAGAAGCCGAGAAGGGAAAAGAACGAAGAAAAGACGAGAACGAAGGAGGTGGAACGCGAAGAAGAAGAAGAAAAGAAGGCCGGCCCTTGTTCTCTTGCACAGCCACTTCAATCGTACTACTTTTAGGCTACAGGCGCACTCGCGTCAGACTTCAGAACTTTTAAGAAGCGCTTACACAACCGGATGTACCGACTAGTTGACGTATGAATCTCTATGTGGCTCACGTGTCACGGCCCGAAGACTTTTCTCGCCAGTGTTCACGGATTTGTCCCGCTCGCTCCATCGTCGACTTATCTCTATCCTTTCTGCTATCTTTTTTCAACTTCCTTGTCGCGCCTGGAAAATGTCGGGCAGGTAGTTATAGAGAAAGATGCTATAGCTTGGAAGTGGTATAATTCGTCTAAGTGACGAATGACTCGAGAACAAGTACGTATATGTTCGTACTAGAGACTTAAGAATTGCAAATTCAAAGAGTTTGTGCGTGTCTAAGATCCTTGAAAATGCGGAATGATCGAGAACAAGGGAAGTCATACAAGACTCGTGGGCAAGAATCGTTTATAAATTGGTACGGTCTTAAGTTAGGAAAGATACAGTTTTTCAAAGAATCGAAAGTTGTTTTAAGAATTATTATTATTGTATCGTTTAATTATTATTGCAGATAGTCGTCATTCTATACACGTTACTCTATACGGAAAGTTGTTTGCAGATCAACATTCCTATATTGGTGTATGCAATTGTACAGAATAAACGGTCTTTCAATTTCCTCTTAAAATGCAAATACTAGAATGAAAACCAATGTTATCTAAATAAAGCCACTTTATTATTACCATAGGGCTTTCTAGCAGAAGATAAAACGTTTAAATCCGGCAAATAATCAAACTTTTTTGATATATTGTTATGCAACAGCATGAAGGAAGAATTGCTACAGTTTTCTGCTCAAGATAGAAGATTCGCAATAAACTTGCATGTCTCAGTCAAGGAAGAATAACTCGGAAGACATCATAAAACCCTGCAACGAACACAAATCGCTGTAACATCGTGTCCAAAAGAAAGAAGAAGGAAATTCCCCAACGAAAGCATCTGCTCCGGTGAAGTAACTTTCTTATTATACGCGCCTCTTGTTAGTTTCTTTAATCCGGTATTCTTTAATCAACGCGAAACATCTGTCTCGCTTGTTTCCACCCTGTGAAACTTTAAGCGGCCGTTTATGATAATGCGTCAAGAAATTCGGGATCGAGTTTCGTTTGAAGAATCGCGAGCCGCTTGCACCGATAGCAGATGGAAATATCAGGGAACGTGTTTGTGGTTGAAGATGTTTTAACTCGAAATCCTTTAATTAGAGTGCCGTCTTCCTCGTATTCCTCGATGTGCTTACTCTTTAATTGCTTTTCTTCGATCGTTCTCAGAGCGCTTCGCGCGGTTTCCGGCGATCTCGAAAGACGTTCCAATAAAATGTCTTTTAATTGAGATTCGTAGCTGCAGCCCCCTTTGCGATCAACTAGATCGGCGAAAAACTTTTTTACCGACTCTCGCCGTTCCGACTTTAATTATTTGTTTGGGCTTCATTCACCTACAGCTGGATATATGTACACGGGCCAACTGGTAAACGGTGTAAATTGGATCATTCGAGAACGAAACAACGCGATCTACTGAATGATTTGCACGTTTAAGAAACATCACTGAAAGTATTTCATAAATAAGAATACCTGTTTAAATGAGAAATTATTTTTAAAGAACGTTACGCAGAATTCGATGGAATATAAAATAAATACTGAAATATATGAAATATTATGATTGAACTGTATCCCACAAATAACGAAATTTTGTTTCCGTGGTAATTCAAGTTTCAAAGTCCACTGGCAGGTCGGCGTAATCGAACGATCGATCGAGTCGTAGATCAATCGGTGCATCGTGTAATTGCATTCGTGTGGACGATGACACTCGACCATCGAATCTCACGGATCACCGTGCGTATTGCATTTAAATAGAATTTTTGATACGGCGCTACAACGATGTCCGGCATGTTCCCCGTAACGAGAATTCAAGCACCGTCACGCGACGTCGAGCCGGTCAGAAACGACTAATCAAAATCGGTTGAAAATTGAAAATTTGCGCTAATGACGAGCGTAAATCAATCATATCTCATTAATCAACGCAATATTGGCGATCGGCATGAGCGTGGCAGTGGTAAACAGCGGCGAGGCAACGACTCGGTTTACCTTGGTCCGGGTAATTAAAATAAGAAAGAAGGAAATAGAGACGATTCAAAAAAAAGCCGGCAGCGATTCGATTTTAACAATATTCTGCTTTGCAATGGCAACGTATTAAACGGCACTGCGTAATATTGGCATCGTGCACGATACGGTTTCGTTAATTAAACAGCTTAGCGGACACCAATATCGCGCGAGAAGAGACGCGATGTTCGCAATTCACGGAATGCTATAAAGGTTTTACGGCAGCTGAAAATTTCGATTCGACATTCCTTTCTTTGTTCGTCGCCGACTTCGTAAGCTTTCGCATTTTTGAAGTCCGGCCCGACAGAATAATTCAAAATTATTCGACCGTAACCGTACGTGGTGTGCACTCGTAAATGGACTTAGAAGCTTTTCACACATGGTTGGAAGTAAGAGTCGCAGTGAAAACTCGCGCTATTCTCTTTTACGTTGAGTCGTGGATTCCGTAAAGCCATCGGTAATACTATACTTCGTTATAAAGGTTTATAAAATATGCTTGTGTGATGAAGAAAATTTAAGCGTCTTACCCGCGCGATAAGTAAAATCGTCTTAGGAAAAGGAAATATTTTCCAACGTTCCACTGAAGTGCTTCAGTTACTGGCGCTATATACAGCAGCTCGCGAAAGCATTCGAATACTTATAGAAACGTATCATTTTACGAATATTACGAATATTATGTACGTTATACGAACGATTTTAAAACAAATCTGCAAACCAATGTGATCATGAATCATGATAATTGAGTCTCACAACAATGCTGAAATTTCGAAATGTTTTATATATAATATACACGTGGAATACATATACAAAAATTGTCTACATTAAGCGTTCAAATATTCTAGCGAGCTACCGTACATGACGCGAATAATAAACTCTTTAAAATATCACGACTCTCATAATATAGTATTAAACGTAGAATTAAAATTTATAGCTCGGCAATGAATTGTCAGCTTAAGCGGTCTCTACATCAACGTCTATGGAAGCCGAAACGTCGTTACGCCACGCAAAGACACTGCCACAACACTATTTTCCTACTTCCTATATTTCATTTCGATGGGTGGTCGTCGTACACGAGCGACGTCGTCCGTACGAGACCGAGAATCACGTTGAACGAAATGATACGTAAAATGGCGCTTACACAGGCTGAATCCGGAATCCTTCACGTGGATGACCACCATCGGCACCAGTACCATCACGATGAGGTTTACGACGTGGAACACCATTCCTGGCCCGTGAGCTATGATATCCTGCGGCACAAAATAGAGAGGTACAAGTTACGAGCGGAAGTTGCTTGCAGAGAGCGCGTGGCACATGAAACGGTACGGAATAGAAGGAGGAGAGACAGATAGAAAGCGAAGAGGAGGGTTGAACGGGAAACGCGGCATCCTCCTTCAGCGTGGATAGACGCGCGAGGGTGGTGGTGACCGGAGAACGGTGAGCTTCTCAAAATACGAAGGCTGAAATGCAGTCCGTTGAACTACCGAAAGTCGTTTATTATCCATGCAGAGGCCCCGTATCCGGCCGTGTCTGTTGCGGAATCCACTGCAAAATGAAACGTTCTTGTTCCTGCTACGAGAGTTGCTTATTTAAATATAGCGCGACAGGAGTTCGAGGACATTCTATTCGCTAGCTACATTCAAAGGACATTCGTTTGATGCCGTTACATTCTTACATTGGTGATATATTAGATACATTGGTGTTATATTAGATACGATGGATTCTTCGATCGATTCTACTTTTACTAGTGTAATATCGTGGACAAAAGAGATATCGGGTGAATCATAAACAGTATCGCGAGAGAGCCGAGGCGCCGCCAGGTCCATCAATGTGTCGCCGATCCTTCAATCGAATAGTTTCGTAGAAAAGACCTACGTGACCCTGGCTACGAGCAGAAGCGGAACACGTGCGTGGTGAGCCTAACAAAAGATAAAGGGATGCTAAGGGAGAAAGACGAATTAACAGTCGGTGTCAGTGGAGAAGCCAGTGCGAATCGAGAAGTTAGAGAGTATGAGTTGCGTTGTCGATATAGTGTTGCTAATGTTGTCGAGAGAGTATGGTCCGCGTGAGAGAGAGAGAGCGTTGGATCCGTGGTGACGAGAGTTGCAAATTAACTATTGAGTTGTCTAAATTATAGTACGTTATTGTATTTAGTTCCCGTTAAACAACCATCGTTTCCTGTTTAATCAACACTTGTGCAATCCATTCATTGTAAATTAATCGTAATAGTTTACAATACTACGCTAGCTTTATTCGATTTGATTCTTTTGCATTACGAAGCAGACAATCCGAAATAGTTATACACCGATGTACGCGAAGACAGCGGAGTGAAATTACACAGTCGGGCTAGCATTTAGAACATTGGCTACGAGATACGAGCTGTTCAACGCCTATAGCACGATGAAAAATTAAACGATATTCAGAGCAGGGTTAGTTGTTTAAAGGCGTCGTACCGCTGCTTTTAATACGGTACCTCGCCTGCGAGATTACGCGTTGAAAATACACGATACGCGGTGGTAAAGCCAAACAGCATGCTGGCGATGAAACATTTTCATCTGATATAAAATATTCCTAGACACGTTTCCGCGTTATATTTCCCACTGTCGGCCTTGCCGTGTGCGTTGCGCTGTTTGTTCGCCGTTGGACCGCTCGAGAGGAAGATAAAAAAAGGTACAAACGAGAAAAATAAGGACAGCCGTTCATTACACATTCCGTATTTACGAGCTACGAGACTCTTAAGGTAGACAGTGATGCGAATTTTTCACGAACGTTACAACGTTCGCGAATGAAAACACGTTACAGCACGCCGCGCCGGTTGCCTTTCTTCGAGACCAACCTTCTCGCTGCCGGCCAGGCCGATCTTTCAAGTTTTATGAACCGGCCAGAGCCCGGATAATCGACGAAGCCGTACATCAGCCGGACTAAACTGAAAGGGTATTTGTCCAGTCCGCAACTAAACCGACGGCGACCGGTACGTCAGAGCAAATATTTACGAAGCGCTTGACCCAATTACGTGGGACAAAAGAATACCATGAATTTCAAGGGAGGTCCGGCAAATTGCACAACTGAAACATTTACGCGCGTGCAGCGGACCACGGATGGAGCACACGCGGCGACCTCCGTTCGTCTTCGCGGGCACAAAGAGAGAAAACGCACGAGGGCGGAACGAACCTGGCATAATAATTCCGTTGTAACAGTGGTAGAGACCTCTTTGACTGCGACGAAACGATCACGGTGACAGAAAGGTATTAACAGGAAATGGAATTCCGCCTGATCGAATTAACAGGACATGTTAATCGAGACAAATGGATCTATCGGGATAATCAGGCGAGCTAAAAGCCACGCTAATACTCGTCCCGTAAAACCGTGACATTACTTACGACGCGTCCTCCACTCTCGACGTTAATAAAACGCGGCCATTTGCATTTTAATTAGTAGCACGCTTCAATCTTCCGCGTTTTTTTTAATCTATTCTCTTTTCCCCCTTTCCTTTCCACCTATTCTTCTTTTTTCCTCTTCCCACTTTTATTTTATTTCCCTTTTTAACGTCATGTCTTCTCATATATATTACGCGCGATACGTTTTACGAGCTTGATAGAGAAACTGATCCCAGGAAAATTGATAGGAGACGCGAAACAGGGTTGAAAATTGCACCGCGCGGATTCCCGTTAGTTTTCGGGATTAATTTGTCATGTATTATTCATACATAGGGTGATTATTCGTGTCGTCAAATTATTCATAGTAGGTTGTTGCCGTGCGATCGTCATTAGTCGAATTATTACTCGATTAGCGGCCGACGATTAATCAGGCTATGGTAATTATCAAGTTCAGCAGGCCGGTACTGCCATTGGTACTATTTGTTACAGACAGGAAATTAGCTCCCAGAAGAATGTAATTTCGACCGCTGACTCCGAGCGATATACTGATTATACGTTAAAATATATCGTTTGCAAGCGAATCATGTATATACATGTGTTTGACAAAATTTAATTAAACCACACACGTTTCATATAAAACGTAAATATAATTACCCGTTTTGTTGAGGGGGCGAACGTGGGAGAAACAGGTAGAACTTTCTATACGATCACTGTCCCTGTGATTGTCCTGATGATAAACAATCGTCATCCGATCAGTTTGTAATTTATCAACGTGTTACAATTAGCTAGATCTTTTTAATCGTTAATGAATCTCACCTGATTAAAAGTTGCACGAATTACCGAAATTGAGGTATCAGATATATGTAGATATGCAAACACGTATACGGATATTGAACTTGAACAGAAAGCACGGGAATCCATTCTAATTAGCGACGCAGGAATTCGAACGCCACTCTGCTCCAGGCGACAGCTGAATTGCGACTGATTTTAAAACAAATTTAACCCGAAAAGGAGTACGCTAGGCGACAAGCACGGTAAATATTTCGTCTCCTTTACGTACCTGGAATAGGCACTGCGATCCGAACACGTAAATATTTACACGATTCGTTTATATTTCAGAATACGCAGAAAAACCATAATAAAAACAACCCATTCATCTGGATGAAATTTCAGTTTCTAAATATACGTAACATTCACTTCGTAAACCTATTAATCAACGCGAATTTAACAAAATTTCTGTTCTTCCTTCTCCAAACAATGAAGCCTAACGACGAGGCAGGCTCTCCGGTCAGATTTTTAAAATTCGTGCAAAATTTAGATTTACGAGGATGGATTTCTGCTGTACATTGATCGATGTACAAGGTAGTCCCTGAGCGGAGTCAGCACGAGCAATGTTTACGCTGACACGATACTAGACGTGTATTTGCGTCATCGCCAAGGGGAATATACGATATAAGGTATATAGACGTTAGCCAGAGCATCGCTAATTCGCCTCGGCGTAGGTAGAAGGGATGAGAAAGAGAGAGAGAGAGAGAGAGAGAGAGAGAGAGAGAGAGAGAGAGAGAGAGAGAGAGAGAGAGAGAGAGAGAGAGAGAGAGAGAGAGAGAGAGAGAGAGAGAGAGAGAGAGAGAGAGAGAGAGAGAGAGAGAGAGAGAGAGAGAGAGAGAGAGAGAGAGAGAGAGAGAGAGAGAGAGAGAGAGAGAGAGAGAGAGAGAGAGAGAGAGAGAGAGAGAGAGAGAGAGAGAGAGAGAGAGAGAGAGAGAGAGAGAGAGAGAGAGAGAGAGAGAGAGAGAGAGAGAGAGAGAGAGAGAGAGAGAGAGAGAGAGAGAGAGAGAGAGAGAGAGAGAGAGAGAGAGAGAGAGAGAGAGAGAGAGAGAGAGAGAGAGAGAGAGAGAGAGAGAGAGAGAGAGAGAGAGAGAGAGAGAGAGAGAGAGAGAGAGAGAGAGAGAGAGAGAGAGAGAGAGAGAGAGAGAGAGAGAGAGAGAGAGAGAGAGAGAGGAAGATGAGAGTCACGGTTTGCAACGTGGTCCTTACGCTAGGCCGATCATCAAAACTGCGATGTGCATTTCATAGCCTAGTCTGACAATCTTTACTGCTTCGAGATAAGAAAATAAACTCTTTAGATTTTATGTTAAACTCGCTATTATCGCGTTTGATAAAACTTCAGCCTTCACGACTTTGTCCCAATCTCCCTGCTCGATCCATGGAAATAAGTATCATCGCTGTGCTTCGTAGCTGAAACTGTCGATCGAATCGATTCGAACCAGTGAAAACTTCCACCTTTGGTTAGCTGGGTTCATAATCCGTTACATTAACAGGTTACGAATTTCCAGCGGTTTGTAAAAGAGAGAAACAAATTGAAATAGATTCGGGGAAATGTTTCTTTCGGCGTTAGCTTACGTGCTTCACCGACATAGCATGTCTAGCATTAATATCCCGCAAACTGCACCTGCATATCAACAAGCTTTCACTTAATAAACTTCGTTTAATCCGCGAGTTCTGTCTATGTGCAATTTATGCTGATCCAGCTGCGAGCAAGGTTTCTACGAGTTAGTTCGATTTCCAGACTGATTTGATTAGAACTGAAGCTTCTACTTGGTCAGAAGAACCGTACGCTTTAGCCATAAAATTCTCGTGATTTTTACGGAACTGACGTGACTCGCATATCTTGAAACGTACTATAGAAGAGATTTTAGTATGAGACAAGGATTGTTTCAAATATGAAGAAATTTTTTGTACAGCGGTCTAATTGGCGAAAAATTATTTCCGGCAGAAATAGAATTACCGGTGGGGTTGATAGCGGCGTGATTATGTGACACGTACAGAAAATCCATATATTCTTTAAGAACGGTCTGCGCCGGAGTCGTAAACTCATAAAGTTTCAAAATTACTGACCAGGAAATTGCTTTCGTGCCGTTGAGGAACTATAAACGAAAAAATGTAATTTTCGAAACGTAAGTAGCCGCGTCCGTGTTGACTTTACGACTCGAGCTGGTTCGCGGTGCAATCGTTTCTGCGAACGTTTCCGCGGAAGAGAAGAGAAATTAGAAATTAGATTTCTGTTTGTGAGGTACCGGCGCGATAATTATCGATCCACGGGATCGTTTGAAACGCGATTTCGCGCCGTATCGCGAGCAACCGAGCCTCGTTCGATTATTCTCTGGAAAAATAAAAGGGAACGACGGGCGTTAACGCTTCCCGATAGATTCACAGGGACGAGAATCGGCAGTTTAGCAATGCAGGCTGTAAAAGGCGTACCCGAATCGGAAGCAACATGGTCGGCTTTAATACGAGAAAAATGCAACGATCCGCAGCAGCTCGTCCCTTCTACACGTCTGCCATTTTTGCTTCACGAACGTGTAAAGTTTCCGGCAGCGACGCCATATGCTCCAGATATTATTATTAGTTTAGTTTAGCAACGTGCTTCTTGCCAAAAGGGGGGAGGGGAGAGAAATGGAGGAGGAAAAAAAGCAGCCGCAAAACAGGTGAAAAATATTTTTCCAACTTTCGTCTATTTCCCTCTTAACCAGCCGGCACGCGTTCGTCCCTCCCTTTTCAACACTATACTCGGCCGATTCACTTTTTGTACTGTTCTGTATGTGCCACGAAAAAATGTATAAATTTTCCTGCACGCTCACGCGTAAGAGAAAGTTTTTTAATATCACCGCGCATCCTGTGTCGTTCGTATTAGCACGAGGAATACGTTTACCGCGGTTCGTTTTAAAAAAGTGGTTAGGTTACCGGCGATATTAAAAGGGTTACTCACCACTGACAGGCCCTTTTCGATCAACAAGCAGAGGCCTATGGGTACCGTAGAATCTGCAACAGGCCAAAAAAAAGATATATTGAAACAAATAATTCAATGATGCCGACTGACGAGTGAGAGGAAGAACGAACGAATTCCGGACAATCCATTCGCCTGGCGAGTGGCCCCCGTTCGTTCGTTCATTCGTTCGTTCGTTGCCTGCTTTTTCGAAACGACAAACTTTCAAAAGGTCAGTAACCCGGGTTCCAGTCCTCTGCAATTGACTGCAGACAGCAAGTGACGAGGGTCTGTCACACGATGTGACGTTCCAGAGGCAATCGAAAGGATAGCGAAAAGGGAGCAAAATAGAGAAAGAGAAAGGGATGACAGGAGAAACAGTAGCGCACGAGGTGAAGGCTGAGCATCGAGGATAAACGTTACTAGTGATCGAGCGCCTCGTTGGTTGGTTGGCTGCAAGGGATAACACACAGGGCACACACGTATACGATCATACACGAACAACCCTGTGAAAAAAAAGGGGGAAAAACCGATATCGAGCTAACAGAGACGAAAGTAACTCACCAATAAATCAGCTAAAACAGCGCACGCTACGAAACGAAAACCTGATCAAAAGTCGTGTTCCTACAAGGTAACAAAAACGGATCGTATCTTCTTTGGTATAAGAAACAACAGGTATGGTGGTTTTGATAAATGTACCTTCGAAAACGTAAATCTTGCAATTACGGTCTTTACGGAATTTGTAGATCTTGAAAATATTCTCGAAATATTTGGAAAATGGGCGTAAAACCTAAAAAGTTCGTGCGTTAAAGTTTCAAAATCTGCAAATAGCCATCAAAATCTGTTAATTTCAAAATGATAGTTATAGCTTGAATATTTCAAAGCGCCCACTAAACTTCGAATATCTAAAAGCGATTGATATTCATAAAAGTTTAGACGACCGTTTGAATTTAAAATGTTAAAAGTAAATATCTACCACTATATAAAAAAAGAAATTTCATTCTGCGCTATAAAGAGTCAGTGTAAACTTAAACCTGAGAAAAATAGGCGGGGATTATGTAGAGTATTATGCGAGATATATTGTTCGCCACGGTTTTCTAGCCAGTAATGAGCCGTGACTACTGATTTTTTAGGCGCCTCTCGTTTCAGTTGCCGCTCAAAGCGTTACATAATTTCTAACATTTAAATTTCTTTCCTCCACTATTTTTTGCTTTTATTCAGCCTGCTTTTATACGCTTCGTTCTATCCTTCATCATGCAATCTTACTTTTATTACGTTATAAGCTTTTTATAGCAAAATAAAAGAGAGAAAGGATATGGTTATCGAAATAAGTAGAACTCTGCTTAATATTAGCAACGTATCATAATCAACTCCTTTATGGATAAAAACCAATCGGAAATCAAATAAAGGAAATATTGGAAAGTTGGAAAACTTTCCAAAAATACGAACCCACAAATGAGTTGCAATAGAAACGTTCATAAAATACGAAGTTCATTCTCCGTTCTTTTCTTTTATCATTCTTTAAGCAATTTCTAGGATTTGCCGAGTCAAAACACTTTGGTAGATTATGCAGGATTCAACGCAAACCAGCATCATAGCACAGGTACGTTCGTACGATTTCATTTCGAGTGGTTCGTCCTCATTCTTCGAAGTATCGTCCGTCCCAGCGGATAAAATATGACGAAACTTAAATAAGTTTAAGAGATGCAACCGTACGATAGGCACGCCCGCAAAATTGAGAGCCACGAGGTCCTTGCGGAAGCAGGTCACGGATCTCAAACACTCCGACATTTGCAAATGAAAATGTTCTTTGCGTTAAGAATATCGACGTGAATTAAACCGCGACGTTTTAATTATGATAAAAAGGTATTGTGACTTTTTGTCGTACTTTACCGACACGATTATCTATCTTAATACTTAACCAACGACGTTAAGTCCAATACTTATATACTATACGATATTACTATAGGATAAAGGCGTAAAAAAAAAAAAAAGGAAAAGCTTCGATTACACGAACGTCGAATCAATTTTGTTTCAACTGCTTTCGATAGAAGAGTACAGCGTATGGCACGTACGGCACTTGGGGACATAAAACGGATAATTAAAAAGGAATTAACGACAATTACAGGCTATCGCTGGCAAAATGAAAACAGTTGCTGTCCGATGAATTCTTTGCTATTTTACAAACAAGTCGATATCAACGTGCTATCTCATCCGCGATCGTATTCACACCAGGGCCGGATAACAAACGTCAAAGAAGCGACGTTCGAAAATTGAAAAAGCGTATCACGAACGAGGGTGAATGATGGATAATATCTCTTGCTAAACTTTCGCCAATTTCCGATTAGTCACCAACGCGTAGATCGAAATCAATCCTCCAGCTCTTCCCCTCTATTTTATTTCATTATTAACGGGGCCGGCTAGAACACATATCGATGAGCCTGTCCGGCAAATACTTCGTTAAATATTTTTTTGAACAAACAATCGCTCGATCTCGTTGTAGGCCGGCTTTTGTTTGATTAAAATATTTGCGCGTGTGGTTACCTTGATCGCACAGCGTTAATTTTTCGAATCAACTGTACGATTTCGAATTGATTCCAACGGCTGAAAGGAATGCATTGTGAAATCCGATTTACAGAAAATCGAACAGCCAAGCTGGAAAATATAGTCGTCTGGCCGTACGCGTAATGCCTAATTCTTTTCACCGACAATATTTAATTTAGTTGGTTACATTTCGAACGCACTGTGTCACCGAGATACCGACCACCGCCAACTTGATACCATCGCGCGTTGAACATTTTGGTTGACAGACGCGATATCCTCGCGTTTTTCGGTTGAAAAAAGAAATTCAAGTCCAGCCTGGCTCGAACCTCACAAAAGCGGCAAATAAAAAAAGAAGAGAGTAGGAAAAGTGGCAAAGGGAGAGGCGACGATTGTTTTTTCATGACCGACACGTGTTCCCCGTCGACTAATTACGAGTTCTTTGAATTCGTACGCGTTTTACGAGTTTCCAGCATTTTTCTGGCCCGTACCACAGCGATTCGTGCACGCGTATTCACTGTGTGCTGAATTACGCGCACGTGCGGCCGCCTGTACCAAGGAAGACAAATAGACTTGATCGACGAATCAAATGCGTTGCATTAAGCAAGGGAGACGTGAAAAAGTCGGTTAATTATAGAAAAGACAATTAATAGAATAAATAGCGTTCGCGTGTTTCACTATATTTTATCGGACAACATGCAAAGCACACGAATACACAGTAGAGGAAATAAATTTCTTCTGAAGTGGCGTTCGATAAATTCACTGAAATTATTACGAGTGCGCCTCGACTGGAAAAAATTTGTCATTATTTCCGAAAGAGGTACGCGAAGCTTTTGTGGTTCGTATAAAATGTAATTTTTAAAAAATCAAATCACACAAGATATTCTGTTTCAATTTTCCTTTTACACCGTTGGATTTTTCTATGTTCGTTCATCCGATATTCCGTTATCCAATCGCAATAATAATTTTAATCGAACTAAGCTATTAACAAAGGAATTCTATGTTTCGAGTTTATTATTCGAAATGAGAAAAGACACGTCCGTTATCGCATTACCATTTAAGAAGACGTTTCGCGAAAGCAGTTTTACGGGAACACGCATGAAAATTTCACCGATTTCAGCAAAGTGGGTGTATCGATAATTCAAGAATCGTATCGGTTCGGCGTGACACTAACATATCGCCACTTCAATCCTCCCCCGTTACTTAATGAGAACAAACGATTCCTCATATTTGAAGGTACAACCGAATCCCTTGTTCCTTCAGCTGGGACCCTCTTTACTCTCGATTCTTTTCCCTATGGAAACGACGCCGCGAGAAAGGGAGAAAGAACAAATTCAAGTGACGTTGAGTACGGCTTGCTAATAGATATTAATGGAACCCCTTTTGCCGTGGAAATACGACCGTTTTTCCATGCGAACGAACAGCAGGGCATCTTCGTTGCTTCGTATCGAGTGTGAATAAAAGAAGAAACGGGAACTAAAAATACGGGTAAAGATACTAAAGAATATAAAAGGAACGCGTTCATATCGACGCTGGAGAAAAATATCCGGAAAAATTAGACGACAGGAATAACCATCGGAACGTGTTATAAAAGAACAATAGAGTATACGCAAAGTATTATACACAATAGAAGCATGCGACTTGAGTTTCACGGTCTCAATGCATTTACGTAACATCTAGTTATCGAATTTACGTCGCGTTTCGCATAATTGAATCGTCGCACGTATACGTCCATTTCTTTGATCTCGTCGATGAATTTATTGTATCACGATGGAAAGAAACTTGAAGGGAGACAGTTTGTTTGCACGACAAACGCATCGAATATGTCGATGATACACAGCTACGGCTACGAAGCCGATTAAATGTTGCGAGACTAACAGGAAATTGGTTACATATATCCCGATACCATGTTTACGGCTACAATTTAAACGAGAACGTCCTGGTTCCTCGCGACAGTTTTGTTTTCACGGCATAACGGTCATGATAAAATCAAATTTTATGCCCTGCTAAAAATCTGCTAGCATAACAGGCCGACATGTTATTTTAATGAATAATTGTGTTCGACGATAAATACGCAGGACGACAATGAATAGCTGCGTGTATCATTTTATCCAAGGCTGATTAAACAAAATTACACTGTACACGGAACAATAACCCACTACAAATCGATTGTTAGTGCTCACAAATAGAATATCCTATTACTAGCTGGCATAAATTGTTCATAATTGTCGATTAGCGAATATCATTCGGAGAAAGAACTAAATAAAAAGTACGGTGATCCTAAATCCTGCGCGTATTAACGTGTCCGCAATTGTGGTAAACGCCAGACGCAAACTTTCGAGTTTCTCTGGCGCCGAAATTCTTCCGCGAATTTCCTAATGAGCCACGGCAGGCTGCTCCCTAACGAGTCAGCCGTCGTATTAACGGAATCAAATTTTTCAGGGAATTCATCGGGAAGGTAGCGAGTACGAGTGAAAAAATTTTTTCTTTCTCTTGTTTCTTTTTTTTTCCAGCA